AAGTCGTTCGCATGCTCCACTCTCACGACAGGACATTCCAGTGCATTAAAAACACCTACTTGCATGAGATCCTACAGTTGTCCGTTTGCTTTCGCCTCGGCATCAGAACCTAACGACTGCTATGATGGTGGCAGGTCCCGGGCAGCACAAGGCCCCAGACCAGCTCCAGGCTGCAGCACGCTGGCGAGCTGCACTCACAGAAAAACCTGGAGCGAACGCGTCATGTCGACGCTATCATTACGGTGCATCGCATGTGGGCATACGGTTAGCAGGAATATGATGCACAGTGTACCCACATGCTCCAAATGTCTGCCGAGCAGGTGTGGCATGGTCAAGTGCCCACGAAATGGTACATTTTGTTGCTTATAGCATTTCGTTTGCCAGGCAGTGGTTCTTTGCATTGCAATTCGTCTTGCAAAGTGGCGGTACCTGGACGGATAGCGGGTTAGCGCCACTTCTGGTTATGGGCCAACACCACGTGGGCACGGAAACATTGCAGACGGTTCATAAGCGAAAGAAGAGCGTTCGGCGTGAAGGATGCCATCAGAATCATCCGTAGACGCCACAGCTTTCCACAAAGGACGCGCGTGACTCAGAAATATCTTCGGTAGGGGCAATGCCTTGGCATCAATGTGTGCGTATTTCACGCGCTCGTGGCCGTGCGGGTCTCCAGGCCCGGGTCTCCGGGAAGGAGGCATAGCGGCCGTCTGACGCGGGTGCACCGGAGACGAGCGTCAGCTAGCTCCGCTGCCGGAGAGGAAGCCGTCCCGTCGCCGGGGCCTCCTCACGACCGGGCATCGGCCCGAGCCGACCCCGGCAGGTGAGTTCCGTTCCGAGCAGGTCATCACACCGAGCCGGTGGGATCGGTAGCGCTGCCGGACGCACCGGCCCAGCCGGACCGGCCAGCAACTGGGCAGCAATGACGACGGGTAGGGAGGGGTCAACCAGCCTCTAGGATTGGCAACGGCAGCGGCTAGGGTTGGGACAGGGTCCATCCTCTCAGAGGGGCCGATCATTTAGAGCCTGCGGTCTCCCGGGGCCCGGGCCCGCCGCGGCTTCTCGCCGTCGTCACACTCGCCGCCGGCGCTCCGCCCACTACCGAGGAGTCAGCTCGACGAGACGGTCCGCCCGCCCGTATTAGGGCCGGCGTCCGCCACGGCGACAGCGTCACTCGTGTCCGCCCCGGGGTGCCGCCTCATGTTCGGGCCGTGCCGTCACTGCGCGAGGTCGAGCGCCAGCCGGATGGGTGTTCTGTACAGCCACGGCACCGCGAGGTCGTACGAGGCACGGCCTCGGTAGCCCCACAGGAACGCGTCGGCCCAGAACCGGAACTCATGGCGTGCATTCCGGCCGTAGGTCAACCGAACAGTTAAGCAGCGTGACGTCACGAGATTGCCGCCAATCAGAGCGCCCGGGCGTCGTCAGAGCAGCGCGGCTGGAAGTGACGACAAACCTGTCTCCTGGAGCCAGCCGGCCTCATGGTCCAGGCGGGAGAACAAACCCAGGAAGTTAGCTGAGCCGTGGCGAGGTGAAAAACCCAAACTAACATGCTTCGCTATTACCGAGCTGCTTATTTGTCCTCCCTTTTCCTATAACAGCGCAGGCGGCTTTGCCGTCCGAGCAAGCCACAAGTCATAAGATTCGACAGCTTCCAAGGCATATAACTCACTGGCACTTGCAACTACCTCTAGGTAATATCTACAGATCATGGGTACAAATGTCTACCTGGTCAGTCTAAGAGCTACCAACTACAAAAGACTGGAGTTCCTGTGCACTCCATTAAGTTCATAGGGATACGCTACGCACCTTTTATTGAATGCACCGCAACCCCCCCGTGCAAGCGGGCTTCTTTTAGCGTCAAACGCCGAGTCACGCCTTATTCTTTTGAACAGGCACTCAAGATCTGGCTTGGTCGCATTGAATGTTCACACGTAAACACAATTCAGACCTTCTATAGGTCGAGCATAAATTGGCAGCGACAGCAATTCTCTCAGCAGGATGCAACGCAAAGCATCGACTCGACCCAGTTGTGGTTTGCAGGTGACCGCGGCCAGGTTAAAGCTGCATAGGTCTGTTTCGTTGGCGGTGCTCCAGCCCTCAGCTGCGCCCTCTGCCGGCGCCAGTGGGGATTAATGCCGTGCCCTTGACCCCTGCGGAGAGCTGGTATCCAGATCAAGTCGAGTGCATAGCGTTGCGCTCGATGTGGAACAGTGTGATTTGATAGCCAGTTCTGAGTGCAGGTGTCTCAAAGATCACGATGTGGCTCGTTAAGGCTAAGCCATGGACCTCAACACGATCGAGCAGAGGCAGCGACGAAAATACCCCCATCCCCACCCCGAAAAACGGTTTGCAAAGGGCATGCCGCTCACTGTAAGCTTCGAGAACTGTGTCCGGAACAAATGGCTGATTGAGTTTTAAACCTCTTGCATCCTCCACCCCGTCCTAGTCGCATGCATTAAGTACAGTTGCACTGCTATAGAAAGGATGAAATGTATGAGTTGAATATATATATATATTATATATATATATATATTATATATATATATATATATATATAATATATGTGTATATATATATACATATATATATAATATATGCGCACTACATACATACATATATATATAGATATATAGATATATAGTATATATATATATATATATATATATATATATATATATATATATATATATATATGTTAGTGCGCGAGGACGGTCGCCTCTGGCCGACGTAAAGTTTTACTTAAACTCTACTACAATCTGGACGCCAGTGGCGCTGTCCGCTCCTCACAAGCTTCACGTCTCTGTATCCGCTGATGGTCGCCTTAAGCAGTTCTCAGCCAAATTAGCTCAATACTTTAAAAGTTATTGCTGTACACATTGTTGGGCATTCGCTTGCAGCTGTTTGATCAGACATGGGTTTTTCTCCAACAATCCAAATCAGCACGATTTCACCTCCCGATTAAATTACTGTGGAAAAGATAATGGGTTGAAACATGCGGGCAGATGAAGAACGCGGGTCGAGAAGCGGGGTCCAGATCCCAGCGGCCCAGTGTCGAAGACATGCAGACCTCATAGTAGTGGAGGGAAAAAGAATAGTGCAGGTGGAAAGCATGGGTCGATGTGTGCGAACCAGCAGACCACTGGTCAGACCAGCAAACCAGCAGGCACTAGGGCACATGATTTGCCGAGCATGGATCCGCCCGTTGTGGAACCTTTTTGAGGATCGATATCAGATCTTAGCAATCAGAGCAGGTGACCTTAAAACTGTCCGAGCCATACGCGTGCTAGCAATCAACCGGATCAGCTTCTTCGTAGCCGATCTCGTCGCTGGACTTTGCGTTCTAAACCCAGGGCGATTTGGCCAAAGAGAACTACACAGACGTAAAGCACTATCCATCCAAACCATTTTAGTCTTTCGTCATAGTTTGATAACAACTGACAGAACCGTAGCTCGTTAAAAAATCTGACTGTTTATTGAAACTGCGAAACCTGACCGGACTCATCCAGTCAATTCGCAAGCAGTGCTAGTCATCAATTAGACTGTGAATACTACATCGGTGAATTCCACCATGTTTGTCGGATTCTCATGAAAGGTTCTTTTCAAACCACCGACCAATGCATTCGCATCGGTTATCAAGGTGTCTGCCTCCATTCAGGTTAGTTTTGGGCATGATCTACATATGAACAATTGCCAACGCTCACGTCGTTGCCGTCTCGCTCGTCCTCGCGACACCGTTTGTAACCGCCTCGCTCGTCCCGCGACACAGTTTGTTGCCGCCTCCTTCGTCTCGCGACACACGAGGTGACATACTGGCATATGTCATGAACAATAGTCTATGGCGTGATTGACTTTGGTCAGTCATGGGCCATCGACCATCGAGGTACAAAACATATCATGATACTAAATGGGCTATTCTCGCGATGGACTTCCGCACATCATGAATTATTCCGTTTCTCGATGGCCTTCATCCGTTTCGCAATAGGCTATCTTCGTAGGCTATCCGTTGGCGATTACAGATCGCTGTGTGGGCGGGCGTACTTCCCACGTCCGTGGTACTTCCCATCACCTGGAGTAGCGTCAGGGCAGCATGATCCGTCAGATGTGTAAAATTCCGAGAAAGCAAGAAAGGTCTTCTTTGCTTTGGAATGTTACCCAAGGCCAGCACACTGGATGGCTCTGATGTATGCATTGCGAGGCAGTATACTTAACTGACGGTGGGGGAATTCCCTGTCACTCGGCAGGCTTAAGGCATTGTCAAAGAAAACTCATACCACCCGGGTTTTCATCCCTAATAACCTACTTGTGAGGAGATCGGGAGACCCGTAAAGTGCAGCTGAACACGTGGCAGATATTACCGTCTTGTGAGTGAGGTGTCAGATACGAGGTTATCGAGCGAACGGCGGGATCATGCCAAGCGCTGGCAGGATTTTTACGCAACATGAGTATCTCGGACCATACAAGGTCAGCTGCTATGAGACTTTGCCAGACGCGTGCAGCCCACGGCGGACTGGCGCTGGCCGCGTTTGCTCCTGGCTCATTCTATCAACTGCATGAACGTTAGTTGAGTTTTTAGCGCTATAATATCTTGCATTGCCTCTGATCAGAAATTTCAAACAATGGGCAGTGGACAATCTGCGGCACCTTTTCCTTCGTTGCGCAAGCACCGCCGGTACTTATCAAATAATCATATCCGTTAACGATGACCTGCATAAAATACAAATTTTCCTGTCAGCTAGCGGCGGTTGGCCATTTCAGGGGGCTGCCACCCGGTTTTAAACGTTTGTAAATGTAATTTGGATGCCAGACGTGTGGGAAGAAACTGTTTCGACTCCACCAACGAGCCCGGCAGTTGTGCCAGGTGTGCCCAATTCGCGCCTTTAAACGACGGCTAACGACCAAACGATGATCGATGCGGGCGAGCACCGCTCCCGCCAATGCCGCGCAGCTCGGGGCTCCGGGGCCTGGGGCTCGGGGTCCGCGTCGGGCCAGGGACGGCTCACCTGTGTCATGGTGTCGGGTGTCGGCAGGCCGGCGCGGGGCGGCAGTCTTCCGAGCTGGGCGCACGTGACGGCTGTCGGGACCGGCGACGGGACCGCAGAGGGAGCGCTGCTCACAGCTCCGGACCGGGGCGTGCACTGGCAGCGGCGTCCGAGCAGCAGCGGCGGCGGCGGCGGCGGCGGCGGCGGCGCCACGGCGGCCTCCCTTTCACCGCGCGCGCGGCCCCCAGCGGCCGACCGGCGCCTGCTCACCCCTCACCCGAGCCCCGGGGGCGCCAACAACAGCCCGCGGTCAGGGGCGGGCGTCACCGACAACACCCGCACCACCGCCCCGCCACGCACCCTCGGACCATCAGGTGATACCGGGCACACAACAATGGCCACCCGCTTATCAGTAGACGGAATCACGCTCATGGCCCACGCTGACGAAAAGGCGGCCCATTCTGCTGGGCGTCGGTGATATAGGTAATGGGTATAAAATGATTCACGTGTTTTGTATTGTCTCTTTTTGTGTTTCCAGATTTGATATTTTGTTAATGTTTTATGTTTTTATGTTCCAAGTCGGTTACAACGTTCTACGGGAAATGCGAACATCAACAATTTTAGTGGAAAAGTTCCACAAAAGGGAAAATGCATACCAAACCAGATAAACCATAACTATAAATGTATCCCTCACAATGGAACCAGAACACTGAGGTACTCCCGTTACATTTTATGATCGTCGACATGAGTGTTTTCATATGCTTTTCATCTTCATCAGAGCACCTTATGCTCCTTGAGCACGGGGCATGGTCTAACACAAAAAACATACCTTCACGCAGAAATCCAGTGAAACTATGTCATGCGACACGAAGTAAAGTTTGCAGCATCTGGCAAGCGTTGTGAGCGTCGCAGTTCAGCCGTGTTCGGCGACCAACAAACAACAGGCGCGCGGACTACGACCACGTATATACTGCAGGCTGTCTACAGTGGTTACGTTTATTGTCCATGCTTAGGTACACAAAAAAGCATTACAATAAACATGTGCGTCATAGTCGACAAAGTGACTACGAAAAAGAATGTGCATAGTCATGAGCTCAGCAGCTCAAGCAGTCCGGAAGAATGGCAGCACATACCAGACATTCCAAAAATAGCCAGCCTGTTTTTTTGTGGGCTAGCTTCAGTTATGCTTCCAGTACGTCCCCACGTATGTGATATGGTATGTTTACTTATGTGATGATAACTGGGTCTCTCTCCCCGTTTAATGTCATGGGTACACCTATGATGCAAACGTTTGCACCAAATGATAATCGTGCATTATGCGCACATGTGGCAATAAAAAACTCCAATTTGTTTATTGCTGCTGCCTAAAACGCACTTCCTGATTTGCCTTTGAGAACATGCGCACATAGTGAGATACGGCAAATTCGGACCAGCGGTTCTCAAGAAATCAGGGTGTGGGGGAGGGCAAAGTCAGGCCCCTCCCCCTCCCCGTACGTTTTCCTTCCACACGACAAAGCGCGCACGGCAGGGTTTATGTCCTCGAATGTGACACAACGTTAGCCTCAGGTCCACAAACCTAGAGGACTGGCCGCTCCACACGCAAAAAAACTAATCATGTATCTCTTGTCGTTTTTTTGTGTGTTAGCCGTAGTCCGGTGTTCTTTGGGAATGCGCGAGGGTGCGATGTCGTGCTGAGCCATTGATCATCTTTCCTGATGAAACTCTTCTTTCCAAGGACATTCCAGGATGCATGCTCATTGCGATGTCAGTGGCCTGCTACCGTGCGTCAGATGATCAAAACAATTAAAGCGTCTCCTTACAGGCGCGTTATCAGCCAGTCTGCCGCGAACGAATTACTGCATTATGGTCCAGACCACTCAAGGCGAATAGGAAGCTGCTCAGTTCAAATGTTCTTAAGCTTTGGCTGCATTCGAAAAAGGAGCGAAAAAGATAGGAATGTACTTGCATACTTATGTATCTATATGTTCTACGTATTACTACTGCACCTATGCACTTGAGAGAAAATAACGCTAGCTTTGGTGGCTAGCCGGTGCATGACACTTGGTAACACTATTGGTAGGAGTATCAGCCATTTTGTTATGCTTGACGAGCATCTTTCAGCGACACTTTCGAAGATCTCACCGGCTAGCAATCGTCGCATCATTGTGAGCAGAGGGAGTGACGAGTCACGTGATACGTGCCCAGGGAGTCACGTCACGTCCGCAAGCCAGAAAGGTGTGACATGGAGTGAATACTTTCACCCGCCTGTGTATCACCAGCAGCGTCCGTACTATATCAACGCCCTCGTTTCACCTCTATGTGGTTATTGCCGACCAAATGTGTCCCTTCGGCCTGCTTCCTGCGCGGAGCAAGACTATGTCATCAAAATCATGTTTTTGGGGTACTGGCGTTTGGAAAAAAATGACAATAATCCTTGTCCTGTCACATCCAATTGTGGCAACAGACGTATCTAAAGTAACCATTTGTATAAGTTATGCTGAACAGGTCATCAAGGTATTATAATGGACGTCCTGCCCGGCCACGATCATGTTGATTGACATTTATTGGCGGTTTTTTCAACCAATCCGAAATGCATTGGAAATCCACATATAGTGGTCGTCTGCAAACAGTATTTCATGCACTACACGCATCCAGTCTCTGTATATCGGATACCTCAAAACTTAGTTTGGAGTGGCATGTCAGTCGGTCCGGTCCTCTGGACGGCAATGGACCAGGTCTGGTACAGCGCCGCGGCCGTCCAGAGCTGGCCCCGGTGACGGGGCACGTGCCCGTCCGACGGCCCCGCCGTCCGCGTGTCTCGTGGGGGCGTCTGAATCCACCCGACTCCCGACCGTGGAGCCGCCACGCCTCCCGTCCGTGGAGCTGCCGTACATCCCGGCCGTGGAGCCGCCAGATCCCCCGTCATGAAGCCGCCGCACCCCCCGTCTGTGGAGCCGCCGCACTTCCCGGCCGTGGAGCGACCGTACATCCCGGCCGTGGAGCCGCCGTACACCCCGGCCGTGGAGCCGCCGCATCCCCCGTCATGAAGCCGCCGCATCTCCCGTCTGTGGAGCCGCCGCACCTCCCGGCCGTAGAGCCGCCGCACCTCCCGGCCGTGGAGCCGCCGCATCCCCCGTCATGAAGCCGCCGCACCTCCCGGCCGTGGACCTGCCGCATCCCCCCGTCATGAAGCCGCCGCACCTCCCGTCTGTGGAGCCGCCATCCCGAGAGGCCTTGACGCCAGTCCGTTTCCAGCAGCGTCATCTGGGTTAGCGGCGCACCCGGCGCACCTGGCGCGGCATGTACTGCCCCGGACCTGTCGCTCTGACATGCACTGTCCGGACCTGTCGCTGTGACATGCACTGCCCGGACCTGTGGCTGTGACATGCACTGCCCGGACCTGTCGCTGTGATATGCACTGCCCGGACCTGTTGCTGTGATATGCACTGCCCTAAACCTGTCGCGGTGATATGCAGTGGCATGTACTGCCCTAGACCTGCCGCTGTGACATACACTGCCTCGAACCTGTCACTGTAACATGCACTGCCCGAGCCTGTCGCTGTGACGTGCACTGCCCGGACCGTTTGCGGGACGACAGGTCTACTGGTGGTGGTGGTGGTGGTGGTGGTGCTGCTGCTGCTGCTGCTGGTGCTGCTGCTGCTGCTGCTGCTGCTGCTGCTGCTGCTGCTGCTGCTGCTGCTGCTGCTGCTGCTGCTGCTGCTGCTGCTGCTGCTGCTGCTGCTGCTGCTGCTGGTGCTGCTGCTGCTGCTGCTGCTGCTGCTGCCGCCGCCGCTGCTGGTGTGAGACAGCACGCCACTGCTGCCCTCTCTGAAGCGTGGATGACAACTTTCCTCCGGAAGCACGCCGTAAAATTGAACGACTGTCGCTCAACACTGTGAAATGAGGAGAAAATATTTGTGGTTTTGTTCGCATGCCGACGCAAGTGTGGCTGAACAAATACGATGTTTTCTCTTGCTAGAAAGGGTTATTATGTAAGCAACCAAACGTCACATAACACCACACAACGCCAAACGGTGATATTAGTACGGATGTTGAGCTGGTATCATTCAACTAGATACCTCGCGTGTGTTTGGTTAGTTGGCACGTCACAGAAACTTCGTGGCGCCATTTTTGGGAGAGAGGGCTCGGTGACTGAAATAATTTTATTTCGGAACTGCCAATAAAATTGCCAAATTGCAAAACAAATTGCATTTGTTTGTGCTATGACATCGGTTCCAGAACCATGTCATCAAGAGCAGCGAAGACGAAATACCTTTCCAAAGCAGAGGCAACCAGGGGTATTACTACGCGACCACGCGCTATCGAACGACACAGACAATGGGCGTGACGAGACCGGCTGAACACGCCGCGCATCGACCATCAAGTAAAACGGAATATCATCCCACAATGGGTTTGGCTCGTCACCAGGTGCGCGTCGGACCGAGCGGCCGTTCCCTGTGAAGCAGGTCGGCTCGGAGCGGCGCTGCCTGCAGGCCGGCCGGGCGGGAGCCCACGCGGCTCCGCGCCGCAGCTGGCCGCCTCACAGAAGGCTTGCCGTCATCGCTCACCGCCGAGACAACCCATCTGGGTAGGTCGTCTACCGCGGCACGTTATCGCGTCCGGGCGTGCAGGTTTCGCCCGCCGGCTGGCACCCGGACCGGCGGACCGGCGGACCTCGCCGGACCGGAACGGATCGGAAAGGAACGGAACGAGGCGGAGCGGTCGGACCGGACCGGACCGGACCGGACCGAACCGGACCAACCGTACCTGACCGGACCTGACTGCGCCGCCGACGACCGGGTGGGTGACTATCTGGGCGAGGCCGGCGGCAAACCAAGCACGGTGGCTCGCGAAGGGCCAACGGCGTCAGCCGGACAGTATGGGAAGACGCCATGGGGCTGAGCAGCACGCAGACCATCCTGCACGGTCCACTACGAGACAGCGACTGTGCGCGTGAGATGAGCAGTACTGGACACGGGTGGTATGGGATATGGCACGCGCTTGATTGCACGTTACCTGCTGCACGCAGTGGTGCACATCCGTGTCAGTACGATGTCCCGCCATTTTCCCACTGAGACCTTTTTCGCCCCGTCCTGGCATGCCCCCGGTTGGTCGATCCTTGGGTCCAGATTCGACCCCGCTATA